ACAGACATTTATGTTAATGTAATGGTTAGTAACATTACAATTTCAATGCTGGTAAATCTGTAAGTTAATATATAAAAATGATATCGAGCCGAAAAAGATTCGAATCAATTTGGCCAGTGAGAGTGGGTACATAACACCGTTTAAAACTTTAGGACGCAAAACATACACATACACATATAACGTCGCCATGGAATGTGAAAAATATGCAGTAAATTCGATACACGATCATGTGATATTGAGACGATATGCGAGAGAGAGAGAGAGAATGCTTTCCAAAATGTAAACAAAATAAGGAAATAGAGAAAAACAAAGAAACAGAAAAAAATATGAAAAACAAATACCGCACTTGATCACAATTTGAATTGTCTATTTCGTACCGTTTTTTTTTTCTTCAAAAACTTGTCGATTTGAAAAAATAAAAATAAAACTTAAACGAAAAAAAACCAAACTGAAATATACATATATAAATTGACTTAAATTATGAGCACGATGAATGCCATATGATTTTCAGAACTGAACTAACTATCGTTTCCAAGTGCATAGTGTCTATATACACAGAACGTTTAGACGATGAAAAAAAATACACAATACACAAAATAAATACATTTGATGTACCAACACAATCAAGTACAAGTGTCGAAGTGAGAACGAGAAACAAAAAAGGCGCGCACACACACATCACACAAGAGAGGCAGAGAATGAAAGTGAAAATGACAACTATGTTGTGACCAAGAGACGGAAAAGAGATGCAACTGGTACATTTTGGCTCAGGCATACAGTGAAAGAGAATAAACGACGCATAGAAGAAAAATGTGTGCACCGAAAATAACAAAAATAAGTAAATCTTCTAATCGTTATCGGTTCTCTTGAGCACGTAGTGCGTCAATATTATGGTCGTTATTCGGTGCACTTTCGTTGTGTGTGTACTTATATGTATGTGTGCCTATTTCAATGTGTCTGCCTCTGTGTGTTTGTGCGTAAAATCGATGCGTTTGTTCGAATGCATTAGATTTTTTTTGGTCGTCCTCTGTTCGAAACCTAGACGATAGAAGTCGGTGTTGTAACGATTCGTTTGTATACGTTTTTGGCCCTTTTTACTTTTCCGCCCACACGTAGTGTGAAGGGAAAAGTCTTGTAATGAGGTCTAAGAATAAAAATTCTCAAAATGGTCGGAGATGACCTTTTCTGGGTTGCGGATGAAAAATTAAACGATTTGACACCAGGTTGTTGTGGGTCTGTTCCACGTTGTACGTGACTGTTTTTGTTCAATCATTATCTCTTTTCTCGTGATAGTTTTACAAAATCTGATTTTAGAATGGTTTGGAATATTGAGGAATAGATACCATTAGATTTTGGACCAAATTGGACCACTCCATCATGGTCTTATAGTGCATAAAATTTTTATTTTTGAAAAGTTTGTATGGGGGATGTCAAAATTTGTTAATTTTATGGTCAAATTTGGATTCCTCGACCCAAAATTAGAGGGTTAGGTATCTTTGATGTTGGCCATCATGGTCTTCCATGATTCAACACGATTATTTAACCAATTTTCAGCCTATTTTTGATCTTTTGACCAATAAACATGATAGTTTTGGTCAACCTCAAGATCATGCTCTAACACCATTTTACACGGTTATTGATGTCGTATATCACGGTCTATCATGATCTAACATCATTGAACATGGTTAATGAGGTCGGTTAAAGGTCTGCCGTGAATTGAGTTGTATATTTAAAAATTGAGTGGTATTTTTGTTGCCTGAACCTATCGTTTGCCAAATGCGTTGCCTGCTTGTTTATGCGCGCGTTTCCTATACACATACAGGGCCACAACACAAATTTATAAATGTTAAGCAACGACACGAAAACTTTTCTTCTTCATCGTCGTCATCAACATTAAATGTAAAACGTTTTATTGATAGAAAGATTCGAGTTTTCGATTCATTCAAATGTGCAACGAAAATACATTGAATTTGATTTATACTGAAGCATAATTTCCATTCAATTGCTGTTTAGACGTTTTTTTGTTTCAAAAACTTTCCATTCTTTCGAATTGAAACTAAAACAATTATATCTAAATATCAATTAATACAAGTTGAAGTTAAGCAGAGATGAGTTTTGAAATTTCGGAAAATAAAGTAAAAAACAAGCACGAATGCTAGCTCCACTTTTCATAAGCTCAAGTCTCCTCTCAAATTAGAATGCCTATTGTCTTCTCCGCATTGAGAAAATATTTCAACGCAGAGATGATATACAATATGCAACACACATCCTTTTTGAGACACAATTCAGCGTTCGATACGAGATTGTGTGTTGTTGTTAAACGCGAATAATCGAATTTCAATTTTCTCTCGTTTATTTCGGATCGTTCATTTTCTCTATATCTATCGTTCTATCTCGCTGGGATATTTGTTCGTAGTGCACCACATTAACGATGCTCGTATTACTACACCATTTTGCCGTCATCGTTGTTGCATCGCATGCAGACCATTTGTCGAAATTCTGCACTCTTTCACGTCGACCAAAGAAGAAATAGACGAGAGAATATTTTTTTTACAAACGTGCTAAAAAACACAGCTCATATATTAATATTCAGATGAAATGAAAAAAAAAAATACGATAGATCATCATTTTTGATAAGAATACTTACTTAAAGTTCAACTTTTGTTTGAAAAAAAGTTACTCGCTGTAAATCCAGGTTGAAAATGCCATAAAGAGATGAACTAATGTAAAGATTGTAAATTACAAATATTTGTCGAAGCATCCATATTGCAATTGAGTTACGAATATCAATGCTAATGATATGACAAAACCGCACATTGTTCAGATCTATCCTCTAGTTGTTGTTGTTATATTTGGCCAGTAATGCTAGCGTCATATTATTCTAACCAAAAACGATATATGTATGTGTGGTACACATTATTTGTTTGGTTGATGCATCAGTTTGATATTTATTTCGTCGTTCCAAAAAATGAGTTTTTCTAGGGGGCAGACACGTGGAATAGGATTTGACTTTTAGTGTAAAGAT